AAGGAAGCACTGGAAGCGTGTATACTTAGAAGAATGTTGAAAATATCATATACAGAATATAAAACAAAGGAGTATTGAAAATAGCCAAAACAAAGCAGACACCCAAAAAAGAAAGTGTCAGTATTTTGGACACATTATCAGAATGAATAAGATTCAACGAATTTTGATAGAGGACAAGGTGGAAGGCTGCAGAAAGAGAGGTTGACTGCAGAGATAATGGGTCACAGATGTCATGGAGTAGTTGCAGTCCAGCTACAGTGACTGTGTGAGAAACACACAGAACAGACAGGCATGACAAGCACTGACAGCTAATCTGCTGGGTGGAGCAGCTACATGCAGATGATGATGAACTGCAAGAACTACTACACACATGACCATCTGCAAGCCATCACAGAGCACAGGCCATTTGTCTTGAAGTTTTAATGTGAAGCTCTGACTGATTATGGGTTATTTACCTAAACCTAATTTTGTCATTTATAGTTATACATTAAACAGTATCACTTTCTAATACATGTTAGAATAAATTTTCTTCTGAAATTCTAGGGTGGTGGTAAATGCCCCCTTGCCCCATCCAGCAGATGCCCGTGACTATAAATCTCTAGTCTAGGTAGACATAACTAATTGCAAATATTACAAAATTTACTAATGAGTAATGTATTAAATTTCCAGCAGCTATCAAAGTAACAGAAACAATAATTTCAACTCTTAAAATAGATAAATTCTACCTTATTTAGCTAACATTAAAACTTGTGATAGTTCTTTATTATAATTTAATATTTTAATATCATCATAACTTACTTACACTATGTTACTGTAAACTCAGGTTTTTATAACATTACGATTAACTTAAAAAATAAATGGTAAACTTAATGATTAAGTGTTACTGTTAACTTAAATTAAGTTTTGTAACACACCATAATAAATGCTTTAGTGAAATCGCCATAGTTTGGATAAACATTTGGCTTCCCAATAATATTTGCAGCAGTATAAGAGATACTGAAATCGCTGCCATACTGAGAACTGAAATCAAGTACATCTGAAACAAACTGCTCTAAAACTAACTCTTTGTTCTCTACATTTTGGCATTTACTTTTTGCAACATAAAAACCCAAAGATGTCATTGTCTCTTTCGCCCCTGCGGTATTACTATTAGGCTAACCCTCGATACTTAAATGCGTATTATATGGAATATCTACAATTACAGCTCTGGGTTAGCAAGCAGTTTAGTAGCTCACTGCCTCAATTTATTTATTTATTCTTCTATGTTTACATAATTCACACATTCAATAAAATATCTGTAAATATGCATTTTTAAGAAAGAAAACTTGTTTAACTTTAAGTACAAAAAGTTAGGACGAAAAAAATACACAATTGAACTGAGGAGAGACATATAATGATATATATAGTGTATTGAATGAAAACATGCATATTGATATCTAATATAATATTAAATTCAAAATCTCTTAAAAGCTTGATAAAGTTATTAGTAGTGGTAACATGATTTTGTATCTAGCATTGTAAAATACCTTAGTTGGCAGAGCTTAACGTTTAATTGTTATATTTGAGTGATATATAATATCACAATAACAAGTTAAAACACATCGCTGTTTATCGGATCAATACGAGTTTCCACTCAAATTCCAGTAAGATGGGTGTATATTATTATTTCAGCCCCCACCCATGGATTACCTATGGATTTATAAAGCTAAAAATCGGGTTTTGATACCAGTGGTAAGAACAACACTGATGGCCCATTGTGTAGATTTGCGCTTAGTAACAATAAAGATAACTTCGACTATATCCTTTGCTGTATACATCAGCTGAAAACAGAAATAGCCTTTCGGTAGTACCAAATATCATCATAATGGCTAGATTACAATATTTAAATAGACCTGAATAATAAAAATTCTAGTTAGAAGGGTTCCACAAAAAGAACCCCTTAGAGTTGAATGACTCATTGCTAAATTTGTTGATTAGAGTTTATTGGAGGGAAGCAACATCGCTATCTGTGCGACTCACTGCTAAAACCAATTATTAAAGTATCATATATATATAGTTATTCTTAAAACGTTGTTTATATCAATCGTTTTACAAAGCAATAAATTTTAAAAAATATATACCTTGAGGCTGTCAGGAATTATAGGCAGTTTTCAAAGTCCAAAATATTTCGGAATGAGTGGGTGGGTTTGTTTGTTTCTTTGTAATTAAGCACAAAGCTACACAAAGCTCTCTGTGCTCTGTCTCCTACGGGTATCGAAACCCAGATTCTAGCGTTGTAAGTCCACAGACATACCGCTTTGCTACAGAGGGGCAGCCAGGGTGGATAAGGGGTCTGTTATATTTTGAACTTTCTGCATAATTAGAAGTGTCATAAAATATACAAAAATATTTTAACTATTAAGATTATAATTTCATTACATTATATTCTGTTGTTTTTTTTAATGTGTTTACAGTTCTTCATCAACGTTTGACCGTATTCCATAGTTTTTCTCTCTCTTTTGGGGGTGAGAAGAGATCAGATCAAATACAAACATTTGTTGGATTTTTAAAACTGTCAACAATTGTTAATTACCTTTTAACTGATGGAGCATAACAGTTAATTGTAATACAGGTGTCAAACAATATCATAATTATGATCTGAATTACATTATTCTCTTCTGGCTCAATAGGAGTTTCTAGTAAGAAAGGTGTATAAAACCATGTGTTTGTTTTATTGCATTGTGTGTGTGTGTGTGTGTGTGCGTGCGGGCGCGCACGTGCGTGCAATCGTGTTTTTAAGAGCAAAACTATACAATGGATTATCTGCGCTGTGCTCACCTCAGGTATCAATCCCCGATTTTTAAGTATAAGCTGTTAAAACCACTGGACAGTCTGAAGTACTAGGAGCATCAAATCATATTGTTACGCCTCCAGTCGTTACTTAATTTCCCGTAAATTCGTTCCGACGAAACTTTAGCGACACGAGTCCTTTCTTAAATAAACATGGTTTATTCTTTCCGAATACAACTTTACGATACACTTAATTTCAACAGTCTCGCTATAACAACGAACGTGCTCAACTTCAACAATACTCTCTGACTGCAGTTCAGTTACTCACTACACTGTTGTTCCGTCACGTTGTGACCATCTTATATATACCAGACTACCCCCATATCTAATAAATGCTAGGGCATTCTTGAAGGAACAGGATATTTCTAGAAAACAGGTGGCGTGATACTAGTCACGTGACTTCGCTGACGCAACGCTATGAATAATATGAATTAATAGCATTTTACCTAAGAACACTTCTGTATGTTGTAGTATAGTCAGTTCTGATGAGCTCTAGTATTGAGTAAAGGGTCTCGTCGGTTACAACCTACTGAAGTAATTTGAATCTGTATTAAAAAGTGCCTCATTAGCAATTAAAAGTGGGCTAACTCTTTTCCTCAATTGATAAAGAAATTGCTTGTTGTACGAGCATTCCGGCATTTGATCCTGCATTCTCATCAGAATTGCAGAAACTATATTTCCACTGTATAACAAAAGGGATGTATTAGGTCAAGAAATGTCGCTTTTTTTTACATGAAAAAATCCGAACAATTTGTATATCAAAACAAAACATTTATTCAACGACATACTCTCCATTCTTATCGATGATGATTTTCCATCTTACAATCCAGTTGTCAATGACCGATTAAATAAATCACTTGGCTTTGAAGCAAAAAATCATGGCGATAACCTCTTTAACACCTTCCTCATTTGCATACGTTTTCCCAT